TGTCATCTTCTTTAGTGGCCTGCTCCCCCGCCATAAGGTTGAGACTGCTATTGGGTTCTGTCATCCCCGGGACTTCTTTCGGACCTTAAACTATCACGTACGCCTTTTTCTCCTCCTTCTTCTTCAACCCCTTTGGCTTGAGATGAGGATACTTCTCCCAGCACCGATCAGTTATGTGCCCTGTCTTCTCGCAATGACCACAAATCAGTCCTGTTTTCCCTGGATCACCCTTATTCTTCTCATCCTTAGACTGAGAGCCACCCGTCTTGCTCTCCGATGGTTTGGAATCCCCCTTTGTCTCGCTGAGAGCCACCCGTCTTGCTCTCCGATGGTTTGGAATCCCCCTTTGTCTCGTTGCCCTTCTTCTGCCTACCCTTAATGGCTATGGCCTTCACGCTCGCCTCTGCGATTGTCTCAACCGAAAACAGCTTCATCTCCTTCCGGATGTAATCATTCAGACCTGCCATGTACTTCATGAAGATGGAGTACTCGTCCGTTGCGATGTTTAGAACCATCGCCTGCTACTAGAACTTCGTCGTGTACTCTTGAACGGCCTGATTAAACTTTTGGCGCAAACCATACCACTTGTACCAACGCTCCTCAAGGAACCCCACTGGATAGAACTATTTCCGAAGTAGCTCCTTGAACTTGTTCCATGACGCCGCTTTCTTCTCCTGTTTGCAATAGGATTTCCACCACGTCAACGCATGCCCTGAAAGCTTCAATGTCGCGAACACTATCTTCTCCTTGGACGAATATGCGTAGAGAGTGAAGTACATCTCTATACGTTCGATCCAATCATCAAGCTTCTCCACATTGATACTCCCATCATAAACAGGAATCTCAACCTTGAAGTCAATCTTCAGATTCTAGTAATTATTCTTACTCCCTTGATGTCCAACATTCTTGACAATCTCAGTCTCCCCCTCTGAATCAAATTCCTCGCTCTCTTCTTCGGATTCGAGGAGTTTCTTCTTACCCTTCGAAGAAGATTTCTCCTTTTTGTCTCCTCAGTTGATGAGACCCACGAGTTGAGTAAGAGTCGTCCCGATCGTCTCAATCTTCTTCTCCATAGCATCAAGTCTTGCTGAATTATCTGCTTCGGTCATCTTCTCCTTCCTTAATTTCTGGACTCCCTCCAAGGAAATAAGGATCTCACCAAGATTCTTGTACTGTGAGCGAGTAAGGACCATACACAGGTTCCCCCTTCACAGGATCTAGGTGCTCTGATACCAACTTGATACGAGTTGCCGTGCGAACACCCTTTGGTCATAGAATTACCAAAAGGTGGGTTGAGAAGAGGATAACCAAAACACAAGAATAATTCAGTATGGTGAGGAAAATTACCTTCTCTAGATTATGAGTATGAAAAGATTACAATCCCTCTCTCACAATCTCACTAGAATTGAGAACAACCTCTCAACTCTCTCGCTAAACCCTAATACAATTATTAGAATTTCTCTCTCCCTAAGGTCTCCCTTTTGAAACCCTACAATAACCTATTTATATCAGGTACAACGTGGGTGGTAATCTTGTAAATAAACAAGTCCAAAAGAAAGAGGAGTCCTTGTCAGAACAGAATCCAAAACAAAACAGGAAACCCAGAATTTATGATTCGGTCGACCGCCAAGCATGGTCCGATCGACCGGACAGAGAACTTTCTGTTCCCTGTGCCCTGCAGGGTTGTCCGGTCGACCGGCATGTGTGTCGCGGTCGACCGGACAGAGAACTACCAGTTTACCCTGTTCTTCTGTGTTTCGCTTCTTCCGACTTCTTTCGCCGTCTTCTTTGGCTCCAACCACGACTCTATTCTCAAGATATCATGTTTCGCTTCTTCCGACTTCTTTCGCCGTCTTCTTTGGCTCCAACCACGACTCTATTCTCAAGATATCATGAGAATCATCTATCCTCAAGCTCCATTCTCAAGATATCATGAGAATCATCTATCCTCAAGCTCCCATGAGGATCACTAAGCTCCCGAGATAGGAAAGAAGATACACCCGTATCAAGTATGGCTACTACGATCTGCCTGAACTGTCAGTGTCATATGATTACAACAAGAAGCTTCGACCAAACACTGGAAGACCAGTAGAGCAACTTAGGTACTCAAAGATAATTGGGAGTCTTATGTACGCGATGAGTTGTATAAGGCCAGACAAAGCATTCGTTGTAGGAATGCTTAGTAGGTTCATAAGTAATCCTGAAAAACTTCATTGGGATGCTGTCCAGAGATTGATAAAATACTTAAAAGGAACTACAAGTCTGGGCCTATTCTACACTGGATATCCAGCTATAATTAAAGGCTATTCAGATGCGAGATGGTGCTCAGAACCAGATGAGTGCAGATCTACTGGAGGTTTTGTCTTCACCGTGGGTGGAGTTGTCATCTCGTGGAAATGTAAGAAGCAAACTATAATTGCATAGTCATCTATAAAATTTGAGTTCTTCGCACTCTATGTTGCAGGAGATAAAGCTGAGTGGCTGAGTTGTATTCTCCGAGACCTTCCATTGATAGAATTGCAAGGCGCAATTACTATCTATTATGATAATTAGGCCACGAGTGTTGTGGTAGCGAACTCGTTGTTCAATGAAAAAAACGGACCATTCTTCTAAAGCATGGCTATTTGAGAGAACTCATTTACTAAGGAGTCATCTCTGTGATTGACGTTCGGTCTTTAGAGAATGTGACTGATCCTTTGACTAAAGATCTAAAAAAGATATAGTCGAAAGGACGTCTGCTGGAATGGGTCTCAAAATTTTGTGGGTCTTACAAATACTTACCATTTACGTTAAGTTATTAGTTCAAAGCTTACGCTACTAATGATAAGATGATTGGTTCAAAAGTCGAGTAAGATTTATAAAGTTTGGTGAGTCTTACAAATACTTACCATTACATCAAGTTATTAGTTCAAAGCTTATGCTACTAATGACAAGATGATTGGTTCAAAAGTCAAATAAGATTTACAAGTGAAATCCTATCATGTAAAGAGGTTGGCTGTTAAGTCTTAATGAGTCTAAAGCATTTAGGATGCAGGATGTTAGATAGGTAACATGTCTAAAGGACTCACCGATGATCCTATCATGTAAAGGGGTTGGCTGTTAAGCCATAATGAGTCCAAAGCATTTCAGATATGAGGTATTAGATAGGAAATACACCTAAAGGACTCACCTAGAATCCTATCATGAGAGAGGATGACTCTTAAGCCTTAATGAGTTCAAAGCATTTCGGATGTGGGATGTTTGATATGAAACATGCCTAAACAACTTACCTACGCATGTGTGGAGATTTGGTCATCTCCTATGGCGTCTTACGAAAAGATACCTAGAGCCCTTGCAGAAACCAGGATATGCACAGAGCCATAAAAGTGCAAAACAAAGGCTAGTGTGGTTTAAAGTAAAAACTACCACAGATGAGTTTGAACTTGTGTGATTGCTGGATTTTAGACATATGCTGGTTCAAGTCTCTGTGATACTATGCATCTATTTTCTATTCAGTTGGTCTAAAGAGGATTCTAGTCCTTGCGACATCTACCTTAAGCACAATGATTGAAACAACGATACCATTACACGATACTAGTTTAAAAACTTATGGGGGATTGTTGTATTTTTTGGTCAAAACCGCTTTCCGAAATGAGTTTTCAAACTATATATATTAACTACAAGTACTTTTCATAAATACTTAACAGCCTAGTGGAAAGTTAAAGTTTTAGTATTTCAAAAGGTCCTCTGTTCGAGGCTTGCCAACGACAAGCCGAGAAGTATTTTATTTTAATTAATCTCACATAAGTTGTAGTGGGTCGTGGGTCATGGGCTGTAGGCCAATGGGCCGGAGATCGGAGCTAATCGGGCTGAGATGCTAAGTGGCGCTTTGTTAGGTGCACTTTTCACTTCGTACGGATGCATTGGGACGAGGTGGCGCCACGTTGTTGGCCACGAATGTTGCCTCACAGGCTACTTCGCAGCATGCGGACGAGCTACGCATTCACACGAGGGTGTGACCCTAGCGTTCTCGCAATCAGACGAGGTTCATCAATTGGTTGAAAAGGTTGGCTAGTTCGACAATGTTTGCTTATTTGACGAGGTTCGCTCGTTCGACGAGCTTCGTCCGTTTGACAAGGTTCGTCCGTTTGACGAGGTTTTCCCGTTTGACGAGGTTCGCTCGTTCGACGAGGATCGCTTGTTTGGCGAGGTTCGCCCGTTCGACGAGGTTCACCCGTTTGACGAGGTTCGCTCATTCGACGAGGTTCGCCCGTTTGACGAGGTTCGTCCTACATATGAGGTTTGCCCGTTTGAGGAGGTTCGTCCTACAGACGATGTTCGTCTAATTTGCTGAGATGTGACCCTCACGTTTCATAGTAACGCGTCTATTGATTGCCTCGTATTCAGAAGTTAATGCATGCAGCAGTTACGATAATATTTACATTAATTTAATAGATTGTTGTTACAATCATAATTGTCATTATGATTTGTAACAACCACATTAATTGAGGATGACTCTTGAGCTAGCCTTAGAGGCCTATAAATAGCGCCCCTTTGACAGCTCTTGGGAAGAACTTGGAAAACGAACGTCGGATCGAGGAGATCTTGACGTTGTTGTTGTTGTTGTGCTGCTGCTGCAGAAACTGTGCCCGAATGAACTTTCCCTAAAACCGAAAGGTTTTGAACCGAAAGGTTCTGAGATCGAGGAGACTTTTCCTTGACCGAAAGGTCTTATAGATCAAGGAGATCTTGCCAATACTGGGTTGGTGCACACCAGAGTACTGTACCGCTATTCCTGGAAACAGTTTGACCTTAGGATCCTTGCACCAGAGTAGGTCAAATATTGCTTTAAGCACAGCGTTTCACAAACAAACAGCAGTGAACTGAAAAAATTTAAAATTACAACACATCAAAATTTCTCTATTTCACTCCAGATTTAACCACAATTTCCAACATATTAAAATGAGAAACAGTTAAAATGGATTGAGTTATATTTATATTGATCACTTTTTATGCCAACAATCCAATCGATGTAACAAGCAAAACTCAATATTCCCAGCCAGGTAATTAACCAAACCACAATAACCTAATTAATGTTTATAATTGTGTTTTCACAGTGAATTCAACTACAAGCAGTACTAATTCTGCATTCCCCCAATCATTTGATAAACTGCTGCAGCAATCTCATCTACTGATGTCAATTGACAATCATCTTCAACCTACAACCAAAAACCCAAAATATATAAATCAATCAATAAGTAAAATTGACAAGAATACAAAGACGATGTAGAGTAGAATCAGTATCATACCTTAAGACTAAAAGAATACATCACCATCTGATCCAACGCGGTAGTAACATTGAGATGCAATATTGTAAGCCAGAAGCTCTGAAGCCCCATCACCATCCTGAGCAACTGCTTTGGTTGTCGCCGCAGTTGAACCTTGAGATTGACATGGCTCTCGATCATTGTTGCCTCGATATCAGCAGCAACTCCTCCATTAGTATTGTTACAGGTTGAATACTGTGGAAATGTGAAGAACCTAGAAAAGGGAGAGGATTGCTTATGCTTCTTCGATTCTAGGGTCTGTAGGCGCTGCTCCAGCTCCTTCACAAAATTTATCGCTCCTCCAACGATCGATGCTTGATCACCCTACTCGAACAAGCCCCATTTGACAAAGGGTTAAGGAAGAGGGATTTAGAAAAAGGATTAACATAGTTAGCCCTTTCGATAACCCGAGAGACTAAATTATTAATCCGTTGTATAAGTTTTATTTTAGCCCTTATGATCATTTTTAGTGTTTGGGAATAACAAGGATTTTATCTATTTTCTCTATAATTAGAGGAGTTAACTCTTAATTTTTATAAATAGGAGTATTAGTAAACCTTTTATTTTGAGGAATTAACTCATTTTAATCCCTCTAGATATTAATCTTTCTGTATTTTTCGCGTTTGAAAAATTATAGAAGATTAACTCACTTTAACCATTGTGTAGATTTTTTGTGTTTAGCGGGTTAAGAAAGGGTTAAGTCTCCTCAACCCCTTACTTAATCATTTGCCAAACCATAAATGTATGAGTAAAGATTATTGTGTGAGTTTTGAGGTTACTATCACTCGTTTACCCTTACACCAACTCACTAATTTCAGTGAGGGCAATATTTGCCAAATATGGGCAAGGGTAAAAGAGAGAAAATACTTAAACTCAGGGTCTACCTACAACAATATTGAAATTACGGGGGTAGTAATTTCAGAACAACAAGACTAAAGGGGTTAAACGTGCAATTAACAAAGGAAAGATGAATTCACATGTTGCATACCCTTTGGGCATACGATGCAGGCATTAAAGAACGAAGGACTGCGAGATATTCGTTCATCTGCTTCCTTCGATTTCGTTCGACTGCAATGTGAGTCATCCTTTGGCTCTCCACTTCTTCCTTGTTCTTGTAGCTCTTTGTTCGCCTTCGTTTTCTTCTGGTCGTCGGCCTCTCTTCAACTGCTTTATCTTCTCTCCCTGCAAAGGCCTCGCCGGTCACTGGCGATGCCGACGAATTTGCACTGCAGTGATTGAAATTTACATAATCACCCAAAGGCCTCGCCGGTCACTGGCGATGCCGACGAATTTGCACTGCAGTGATTGAAATTTACATAATCACCACCACCTCCAGTGCCATTCTGGCGATGCCGACGAATTTGCACTGCAGTGATTGAAATTTACATAATCACCACCACCTCCAGTGCCATTCATCTCATTTTTTAACACTACTCCCTTCATCTCCTCCTCAACAATATTCCCTAAACTACCAAACTCACAGAAGTTCCACTCACTAATTGTGTTGTACAGCTCTTTAGAAGGATAAGCAAAGGGGTCTTGTTGAAAAATTGCAGCCTCTAGTGTCATTGTAATCTACTTAGTTTTAGGGAGAAAATTAAGCTCACGTATGTAAGCACAATCATGAACACACTCAACTGTGCCTTTTCTCCTGGGGAGGATGAGCAAGCTGGCCTTTTAGAGGCCACAAAGAAACTAGTAACAACTGGAGAAGGCTGGGATTTTTATTTTCTTATTTTTATTATTTTTTAAATGCTAGGGTACTGGCGAGGAATTTTTTGCGGGGCATGAGCACAATAAAATAAATTAAAGAATGAGGTGAAATTTGTGGACATTGAGGGGGAGTAAAGAATTGATAAAAGTAGTTGTCGGAGATGATCTACCACTGTGCTTGAAACAGTGTGAAATCAAATCCCTAATGGTGTTTGGTCATGTGAGAGCTGATAGGCCATTTCTTACATTCTGCAATCATATGGCACTAGAGCCTGATGACCTTGCCCAGGTTCTGAAGTATAGTATTTATGTGATATATATACGAATAATCGATATTTTTTTATCTTTTTATTTTGCTTCTCTTTGCTACTACACCACCAAAGGATCGAGGTTGTGGTCGTGAATTAGGATTAAATTTTATATTATGTCATGTCTCTATAGGTTGAGTGTAATTTTTTTGGTCATGTATCTGCACTAGACACAGATATCAGTATCTTTTTTAAATCCGTATTTAATTTGTAACTAATGGGACTTGAACGTGCATCGCTATGATACCCCGTCAAAGTTCCCGTCACTATATCGAATCTTCAAAATTAAAAGTAATGGAGATGATTATAAATTTATCTTCTAGCAATATCAACCCATTACCCAGATTACACTTGTTGTAGTTCTCTTTAGTAACTAGACATAATAACTTTACAAATCGTAAACGTCCAGTTACATAAATGTCTAGTATTTAGATGATGGTGATGATCTTCTTGGGTTAGAAAGCAAAAGTTATTATATTCACGAAAGTAATGCTAGTTATATTAGCATTAAATCGCATTTACATAAATATTATGGACAATTATGCTAATTATATTAGCAATAAATCACAATTACATAAACATTATGGACAATTATGATTAAGAACATGATCTGACTTAGGCAACTAGCGGATGCAGTTCCTATTTCTTCTTACAATGCATTGGTGGCTTGATAAGATAATCCTAATGCATGCTTAAAGATGGAAATTAGAATAAACCCTGATATTAGGGAGTCTGTGAAAAAGGTTTATTTTATGATAATTTTGAGGTATATAACCTGCAAATAGTGTTGCTATTAGCTGTGACGCTTGTTAATAAACATACCAGGTTAGAACTATAGTCTAACAACAACCCCACAGATTTAATCAGTAATATTAATCTTTCGTTAACGCGTAAACACAACAAGAAATTTTATTTTTTTAATGAAATATTACGCTCTCAGCTCACACGCGCTTAGACAAAATAAAGCCGGGATCAGCAAAACTTTCAGTGGGCGAACACTGGTTTTTTTTTCCCCCCTCAAGCCCCACCGAATTTAGACCAGCTGCAAAACGTTAACATAACATACATCAACTGATTATAATTAATCTCTTAATCCAACTATCCTCCATCTTATTAACCTATCGCTAGTCTCCTCGTTCAAGTGATTCCGTGGAAGATTTAAAGCATAACCAACAAAATAAGCTCAGTGCAACTGGGTACGTACCTCCTTGTTCTCTACCGCCTACATACGTACATAGGAAACTGAAATAGGTTTTGTTACGAGTATTTTAATCACTTTCTTGAGCTTAATTAGCATCACCTAAGACAAAACTTTAATCAACCTACTGTTGCGCAATACATGTTACGTCAAACATTTGTCGGTGGGTCCCTACCGCCTCTTTTCACGATTATTCCTGAATACCGATGATTAGTATTAATTATTGGGCAATGCATCCGAGGTCGCTTGAGGAGCCTATGAGGGAACTCCGTGTGCAATTTGATGGTGCTAGATGAGATCTCAAGGGGATAAGGGTGGTCGATCGGATGGGGGGTGTTTAATACTAAGTTGTACATTTGTCTAATTAATAATGGTCCCCTTAACTAGCTAGCAGCTAGTTCATCATACGGTCTCACTAAGTTACAAGTTGTCTATTTCCGTTCGGTTTGTGTTATAACGTAGCGTTATGTTAGCTAATGGAGGGGATTAATGCAGCTAGAACTGGAGGATTAGAGCCCCGTAGGGGTGAATTTTCTGTCAGATCTTATAAAAAAACTTGAGATCTAAACCATAAAACCATGATTAATTCAAAGAGATTTACAAGAATCAAAAGAAAAGAGCGGAAGCTTATACCTGAATCCATTGAGGAAAACCTGATTAGGGTTTTGATGATCTTCTAACCTTAGGGTTTCTCTAGCCAAATTTCTCTCTAGATGGGGGTGAAGAGAATTAGAGAATGTAACTCTAGATTAGGGACCATAACCCCTTATTTATAGATGTTGTACATTTACAATTTGGCCCCTCATCAAATCACAATTACAACCTGGTATCTACACATATAACCCCATGATTATATTTAAATACCCATTAACCCAAATTGATTGATCACTTTAGTGGGTTATCCTGAAGGATAGCAATACACACAGATTAATCATATGTGCCCACAAATAGATTTAATTAGATTTAAATCCAACAATCTCCCACTTGGGCACCGTATGATTCCTTAAATTGTGTATAACCTTATGAGCTCAAAATTGCTATCACTGAAAAGGTATTTCCGAATAATCTCGTCCATTGACTATATCAATATACGATCAAAGCGGCCTTCGTCACATTTATCGTGACTCGACCCATCAATGGTCATATATATCAATACAATCAAACGACATAGATTAATCATGGATATGCAACATAAAAATTACATGCAATGTGATCAGTACATGTCTATTTTTAACTGGTCCTACTTTAGTGAGGTCAAAACCAAACATAATGTAACAGAGTGTCTTAACTGAATACTTTATTCTGATCAGACAATATAACCAAACACAAAGCACTACAATTACAAACTCCCACTAAATCATGATATCTTCAAATAACACCACACCCATATGAGCAGTGTGCTCATGAAAGACCTTGGGTGGCAATCCCTTAGTAAGAGGATCAGCTATCATGGAGTTTGTCCCAATATGCTCTATGGATATCTGTCCACTCTGTACCTTTTCTTTCACAACCAGGAACTTAATGTCAATATGTTTTGACTTAGTTGAGCTCCTGTTGTTATTGGAATACATTACTGTAGATTTATTGTCACAATATAACCTTAGTGGTCTTTCCATATTTTTCAAAATGCGCAGTCCAGTGATAAAGTTTCGCAGCCATATTCCCTGATTGGATGCATCATAGCAAGCTACAAATTCTGCTGCCATAGTAGAGGAAGCTACAAGTATTTGTTTGACACTTTTTCATGATATAGCTCCTCCTGCTAACATATAAATGTAGCCTGATGTAGACTTTCTGCTATCTTGGCATCCAGCAAAATCAGAATCCGAATACCCAATGACCTCTAATTTTTCTGATTTTCTGTATGTGAGCATGTAATCTTTTGTTTTCTGAAGATACCTCATAACCGTTTTGACTGCTATCCAATGATCCATACCAGGGTTGCTTAAGTATCTGCCTAGCATCCCAACAATGTACGTAATATCCGGACACGTACATACCTGAGCATACATTAGACTTCCTACAGCTGAAGCATAAGGAATCTTCTGCATTTTCTAAATTTCAAGGTTACCTTTAGGGCACTGATTGGGACTAAATTTATCTCCTTTAGCCACAGGGGTATCTCCTGGTCTGCAGTCTTGCATGCCAAACCTCTTAAGTACCTTATCGATATAGCTCTTTTGTGATAATCCAAGAATACCCCGAGAGCGATCTCGATGTATCGGGATTCCTAATATGAAAGAGGCGTTCCCAAGATCTTTCATCTCAAAATTCTTTGATAGAAATCTCTTGGTTTCGTGCAGTATGCCTATATCATTAGTGGCAAGCAATATGTCATCGACATACAGAACCAGAAAGATATACTTACTCTCACTGAACTTGTGATATACACAGTCATCAACAATATTCATCTAAAAAACGAACGAGATAATTATTTGTTGAAACTTATGATACCATTGACGAGGAGCTTGCTTGAGTCCATATATGGATTTCCTTAATTTGCAGACCATATTCTTTGGGTCTCCTGACATAAAGTTTTCTGGTTACACCATATAAATCATCTCATCAATATCTCTATTGAGAAATATAGTCTTAACATCCATCTGATGTAACTCAAGATCATAATGAGCAACAAGTGTCATGATTGTTCTGAAAGAGTCTTTCAATGAAACCGGAGAGAAAGTCTCTGTATAATCAATACCTTCCTTTTGAGTATAGCCTTTAGCCACAAGACGTGCTTTATACCTCTCCACATTACCATTTGCATCCCGTTTGGTTTTAAAAATCCATTTACAACCAATTAGTTTTACACCTTCTGGCAATGGGACAAGTTCCCAAACCTTATTGTCTTGCATAGACTTGTACTCTTCATTCATGGCATCAATCCACTGTTGAGAGTTAGAACTTTTCATGACCTGAGAGAAGTTGATTGGATCATCTTCCAACATTCCACTACTTTCCTCATGTTCTTGAAGAAATACAATATAATCATCCGAAATAGCATTTCTCCTTTCTCTCGTGGATCTCCTTAATGGCACTGGTTCTTGAGGTTGTTGAGTTTGTTCTTCTGGAACAGGGAGTTGTTCAACATTATCATCTTGAGGTTCCGGATTTACTTCTTGAGCAACAACAGGTATAGGAACCTGAATATTGTCAAAAGTAACTGTATGGATTGGATCTGAAGCCAATTCCTCCTCAAAACTAATGTCTCTAACCTTATTTCTCCCCCCAAACTCAACATCCTCAAAGAATGTTGCTGTGTTGTTCCCGTCTCAAAAATATTCCTTAGTATGGGATCATAAAACTTATAGCCCCTAGAACATTCAGAGTACCCAATAAAGTAGCTGCTAACTATTTTGGAGTCCAATTTCTTTTCATTTGGCCTATAAGGCCTTGCCTCAGCTGGACATCCCCAAATATGTAAATGTTTTAACTT